GCACAAGGCTACTATGCGGCCTGCATATATCCTCTCGACCAACCATAGTAATAATGGTTTGGTTATCGACCTCGGCTATGATTCTACGGGCACCAATATCCCACGCCAGTTGCAATCCTTGGAACAGTCCCCAGAGTTCGGCTCCTACAATAGAGCAGTAGCCAATATTCATCGTAAAACCATGGACCCATCTCCCGCAATGGTCTCGAATAACTCCTCCGGCACTAGCCACCCCAGAGGCCGGGATGTAGCTTCCATAAGTATTAATTTTCAGGGTACCTATCGGCGGAGCCGACCACGAAAGCCAACGCATCTCCCGGCGGATGCAAGCTCCAAGGCGGTGATTTTTCTCTACTACGGCACCCACGCGAGAAAAAAGCGAGAGGGCCTCCTGAATGCGCCCATGCACTGGTCGAGCACAGCCCTCAAAAACATGTAAATTTCTCCAATGCCAAATACGCCAGGCTGTCAGCCCGAAAAGCATCACCCAGTCACCAAGCTCCGGAAATAAACGGCCCGACAAATTGTCCATCAACCACTCTTGAAGAGACGCCGAGAAGAAAGCTGACCACTGGGCCTGCGGAACAAGGCCCTTGCACGTCATCATCGCAACTTCACAGTCACGTAATACATGCAAAGTCGATTCCTCCTGATTATTGCAAACAGTACAGATGGCCGAGGAAGACATGTGGCGACGCACCCGGCTAACGTTCGTGAGCAGGCTCTCTCGGGCAGCCAACCATAGGAACATCCGCACCCGCTGAGGACCGAGCCACTTCCAATCAGCCGCCAAAGCCGTGACCCATGGGCTGGACCGGGCTGAGACAAATAGCGATATGCCGATCGGGTCATAAAACTACCATCCTCCGACCACCCCCAATATGGGCTATTCTCTCGACTATGCGCCAGCGGCGGCGGAACCGCTGCTATCCGGAGGAGGTAAGACGCCGACAACCAATCCTGGAAACGGGCCCAATCCCACCGGCCATCTGCTGTAACGTACACCGAGACCGGGGCCTGCAGCAAACTCTCCGGTACTGGGTGGGTAGCAACCGAAATTAACGAGACGGGTACGCCCAACCAACGATCCCACCAAAATTTAGTCCTCCGGCCATCCCCTAGCGACCATCTACAACCAATCACTGTCGCCCTCCACACATCACGAATAGCCCGAAGGACCGATGAACCCTTAGGAAACTCGAAGTCCTCACCCATGTCTCGTGGCTCAAGCTTGTACTTCTCTTTAATCACCCGACACCACAGCAGGTCAGGCTTCGTTAGGAATTTCCAAGCCAATTTCATAAGCAAAGCTTGATTCATTAATCGTTGCTCGTGCATCCCAAGGCCCCCATCAGCCTTTGACCGGCAAACCTCAGACCATGACACCAGACTCACCTTTCGCGTAGAGGCCGTCCCCCTCCCCCCCCCATATGAAATTCCTACATTTCCGCTCCAGCCCATCGCAGACACCATGGGGTAGAGAAACGGTCTGCATGGAGAAATAAGGCAGAGAAGCTAACACCGATTGGGCTAGTGTGACCTGCCAGCCAACGAAAGCGCCGAAGATTTCCAACCCGTAAGCCGTCCTTCAGCCCTTTCAAGAAACCCGATATACGTGGACTTAGTCACCCGACTGTGAAGGAGAGGCATGCCCAAATATTTGCCCAAGTTGTCAACCATCTGATACCCCAACCGTTGGGTCAGAGTTAAGCGAGTCTCTTTCGCCACATTAGGGGAAAAGAAAATCTGGGTCTTATGCACGCTCACCTTCAGGCCCGACGCCTGGCAAAACAAATTCAAATTAGCTTGTAATCCACTCGCTTGGGCATGATCCGCTTCCAAGAACAACAATAAGTCGTCAGCAAACATTAGATACGGCACAACCACCTTGTCCTTCCCCACCGTGAAAGGCTTCCACGCTCCGCTTTCCACCGACCTGTCAATCATATGAGCCAAACGCTCCATGAAAAGCACGAATAGGTAGGGCGAGATCGGGTCCCCTTGGCGAACTCCACGGCTAGGTGCGAACTCCTCGCTGACACCCCCATCCCACTGCAACTGCATGGTAGCCGATGTGACACAAGCCATAACCGCCCGGACAAACACAGTCGGAAATCCCGCCAGAACCAACGACTCTCGCACAAACTCCCAGCTAAGATAGTCGTAAGCATTCTCCAAATCGACCTTCACCGCCATGTAGCTCGTCTTGCCCTTCATACCCCACATCGAGTGGATAATTTCCTGAGCCAGGACAATATTATCAGTTATTTGTCTCCTCGGAACAAAACTCGCCTGGGCCGGGCCAATAAGTAGAGGTAAGAGCTGTTAGAGTTGGATACCCGGCGTTCCAATCGGATTGGATGTATTCTACTTGTAAATACTATCTATCGGAATTATATTGTAAATAAGGCATTACTTTATCTTAAAAGTAAGCTTTTATCCTATAATCGCACTTAAGATAAAATCCCTAAATCACTTATGGCTATAAGGTATGGTTGCGCATAGAGATGGTGATCATGGAACATACCTTGAAAGTTGCGATTTTAAATACAGTTCCAAGTCGTTGGACGTTTCGAGATGGGATATCGAATAATCCGAAAAAAGACTTGCACATAGTATGTACGCTTGTTGGACAAAGAATGTTGCATTCCATCAACATTAGCGTGGGACGCAAGTACAT